GTGCCTTTGTGCTGTGTTGACCCAATTTCGTGCAAAACACCCACCTTGCCGATTGTCTCTATCAGCAGTGGCCTGGTACCGGCAAATCCAGGATGCAGGAGCAGCGGTGTCAAAGATTCCAGAGGCTAAGGCACAGACACAGAAAGGGCAAATCTAACTACAGAATATGCATCAAGACAAGGCAAATCTCTGCCTCGTCACTAATGTGATGTCAAGGACACAGAAGTGCGGGTCCTCTGGTGGCCAAACTTCCAAGTGCTGAGGTACAAGCATATGCAAGTGGAGTTTTGGTTGTGCTCTTCGACGTCTCTTGCCCTTACAATTCTCCATGATGACTGTGCCACATGAAAACATCAATGCTGAGCACATAGCTATGAATCTTGCATTCGAGGCATCTGGTTCTAGACAGCCGATCTGCACATTTGTGGACTTGTTGCTGCCACAGAATATTTTGTTGTGGTGCCACTCACATGCAGCTCAGCTGGGTTTTCTTCCTTCTTCATTTTCTTAGGTTTCGGGGGGACAACATTGGCGCCAAGCAAAGGAGGTTATGGCATAATGGATATTCCCTGACGTGGAGCTGACACGTAGTGCTTATCGTGTCCTGAATGTCCAAGTCAGCTGATTGGCATCAGGAGACACGGAATAAGAATAGTTTTCCCTTGCAACCAGATCAGTTCCAACCACGAGTATACAATTCTGACGTGCCTTAAGGATCCTGAAGACCTTCCTTGCCGCTGCCACGGAAGCTTTGATCTTGCTGATGTTCCCAGGCTCCCCAGCAGCCAAAAACAGGCAAGCGTACTGCGGCCACAACACTGGAGCTTGGAACAACAGACTGGCAGAGAGCTGAACACGCCAAGCTCACACAAAAACTTGCTGAAAGACCCGCAAAGCACGGTGCTCCCACCACGCGCCGCACGCATAGCAAGTCCCCTGTTCCGCGCCAGCAGATTCCGCTCGCATTGAAAATAAAGCGCTCACACCTATGACGCCACCATTCACAGATCATCTCCCACGCCAGGCTCAAAGAGGCCACGCCCAACAGGAAGGCCCGTCCTTCCACGCAAGAGATCCTCGCAAAAATACGCCACAGCCTGCAAGGCCCCGCGCCGCAGCGGAAGTCCCTTTCCGCGCAGCGCCACCCGCCCGCGACGGGACATATCTCCGCGCCCCGGCCCACCCGAACCGCCGAGATCGCAGCCGAGAGCGCCAAAGCCCGCAGTGCCAAAGGATCGCACGAACAGAACAGCGGGGCGCAGGCTCGCTCGAACGGCGGCGCGGCTGCCTCGTGCGCGTGTTGCCCCCGCCCGCAACCCATGACGATCATAGACGGTCCCCGCGGGACGCGAATGCTTCGCAGCGCGCTCAGCCGCGCGTCAGCACACCTGAATAGTGGCGCAGAGCTTGTCCTTCCCGTCCGACTTGGCGATGAACTGATTCACAGCCTGACGGAGAAAGCGCCGACCCTCCGCGTCACGTTCCGCGCCCCGGGCGACAGGCTGCGGCAGAGCGGTGCGACTGCGTTACGGGGGGCCGCACCTTCAGGTGGTCCGGCCCGACGCCGAGCTCAGCCGGCATGGTGAACGACATCTCTGTGCGGGAGCCCTGCGTTGGGGAGGAGTTGGGGTGCGTTGGACCTGGCCCTGGCAGGCGAGGGTGTGTTCCAAAGCCAGGGCCAGCGAGGCCCTAAGGCCTGCGCTGTCCCACTGGTCAGCACGTCAGCCGGGACGCCGGCGCAGCCTACGTTAAATCCGACCCGACCTTTGAAGCGTGTGAAAGGTCGGGTCGGATTTAACGTACGCCCGCGCGGGAGATGGGGAGAACGCACCCGCCTTGTGTCCGTACTTTGGTTTGGGGGTTGGGCGCAGTAACCACCGGGATGGCCGTCTGCCGCAGCAGAGGCAGCGTGCGAGGCTGCGCAATGACTGTGTTGCTGCGCTGACAAGCGCGAGTCAGCGTGGAAAGCACGGGGTGATTCAGCCCCCCGAGCGGGCTTGGAGGACTTGTGGGGTTTGAAGTGGTTCGCACGCCGCGACCGTGTCTTCTAACTTTGCGCTCCTGGCGCAGTCGCAGACTCGTGCACCGCCACTGCAGCCTTGAAAGACTGTCAGCTGCCTGGTCAGGAGCGTGCCCACTTCTGCGGATCCTTGTGCCACGGTCACCTTGCGCGCAAGGAAGAAGGGCAAGAGCACTGTCACACCCAGGGGCCACGGAATGGTGGATTGGAACAATTTGCTCCACCGCACCGGGATTCCTGACTGCATGGACCCCTTCTGCCGCTGCTTCAACTGCTGTGGCATACCCTGTTGTATGTGGCCCAATACAAGACACGACAGAAACCCGCAGATGCACCGGTTTGCTTTGGCCAGCGCACAAAAAAGAAATAACAAAACCCCGAAAACGAGGGCCCCAGTTGAAGTAATGGCCAGCAGCGGCCACTCGTCAAGTCTCTCTCCAATCCCAGTCCCACTCAGCCTGCAAATAAAAAAACTCCCATCTGTTTAATTGTTTCTCACCCTATTGGTACATCCCCCCCCTGCCTGTTTGGCAAAACTGGAAATAACTATGGCAGGTCTCCCATTTCCCTTTTTCTTCATTTTCCTTTTTCATGCTTTTCTCGACCCATATTGGTACAACCCCTGCCTGCTTGTCAAACAATTTTGACCAAACCCTAGAAACAAAAGGCAAGAGGAGCAAAACCATACTGTTTTCTGGTTCTTCCATGGCCATGATGCAGTCGTGCATCTGGATGTTGGCCCAGCCCAGCAGCAACGAGCTTCCCTCAGGTCGACTCCCCCTGCAATGGCAAACAAGACTCAGGTGACAAGGAGACAATACCTGAAAACTGTGCTTTTGACACGAAATATACCTTGTGCCTACCAAACTGGACACTCCAAGCCAATACAATTCCACTCACCATGCCCCAACTCAGCATAGTGTGTTGCGTTTTCACCCTGCACTTGGGACTTTGCTTCATCGTTTGCAGCACAGCAGTCTCACAGGTCGTGCTCAGCAGGGCCACACTCACTGTACAAAAATTTTCCTGTTCCTGTTACAATGATTTTTGCCTCGACTCACCATGCAGTCGCTGAACGATGGGCTTGCCAGGCTGTCTGGCAGGTGTGGGTAGCTCGGCAGCTGCAAGTCTGGGACTGGCATCGTGGTGGGCGGCATACAGGCTGGCACCCCCACTGGAAAACATTCTGGTGGGCTGCTCCACAGTGGGCACATCATCATTCCGGCAGGCCCTTGGGGCCCCACCGTACTGGCTGAATGCGGCGAGTGGGGCCCTTGTGGCGACAGCATGGGCAGGGGCGGCGTCATCAGGGCTGGTGGGGGGTAGGGAAGGGGTGGCACAGGAAGGCCAGATGGATACATGCCAAAGTTGGGCCCACAGGCCGGCTGCTGCATCGGCATCAGGGGTGCCTGGCGCTCCTGCTGTCGTGACTTGGCAACTGCCACGTAAAGCCGGTTTCCGCTCATGATGCAGGCACCATTCATCTCAACGATTGCTTGCTGCGCAGCAGCATCGGTGGCGAAGGTGATGAAGCCAAAGCCACGGCTGCCACCGTATTCATCCCTCATAATCTGAGCACATGGAACACTTAACCGAATGAGAAATTGTTCTGCCAACAACGTTGGCATCAAGCACGTTGGTCCACTCCCAAACGTGATCAGTGTATAAGTGTTGGCCTTGATCCTCAGCATATTCCATTTCTCAGTCACAGTCACAGCCAATTCAATTGCTACTGTTCTATTGTTTCGTGGTACACCGTCACTACTTTCTGCTTATGCATTTTAAATCTGTCAACAACTGGACTGTGAATGCATCTGAAAGAGCCAAGCAGAAGCTCAGGGTCCAATTGGGCTAAGGGGTCAAAGAGTGCACGCACGTTCACTGATGTGATGGTTCCAAAGTGTTCAAACAGACGCATCAGCGCATCTTCTCCCATCGTGAATGGTATGCACTTCACGAGCAGCTGCACGCCTTCATTTTGTTCGTTGACTTCGGGACGCCTGGCTTTGGGGGCATCCTGACACCTACAGCAAGATAAACAAGCTAAGAGTCATTAGGACGGGATGGACAATGATAATTGGACACAAAAAATTATCACAGTAGTTGGGCCCTAAGTCCAGAAACTGTCCATGCCCGCAAGTTCCGTGGAGCAATGCATTCCTAACTGCCTGGTTGTGCAGGAACCCAACAGTGAATTGCCAACCACAGCCAAAAGCAAGTTGTCCAGGGGTCACTGGCAAATGGTCGTGTAAATACCTGTTGTTGTACACTTTCCTCTGCTTGTGGTTGTGTGCAGGTTCCACAATCAGGCATTTGCCCGCCACAGTCTTTCCGTTCATCTCCCTGACAACTTTTGCTGCCACATCTGGAGACTTGAAATTGATGAAACCAAAGCCAGTGGGGGCCCCCTCCGCATCCTACCATCACAGCCATTCAAACGCTCAGTTGCATGTATATGTCGCCATCGGCTTCTCAGGAGCAAGGCCACTGCCACACCTGAAAGGTAGCTCAACCAACACCACTTTACAAGCACGCGCCCGCCTCCACATGTACATATCAAAGGACCCACCTTTGCGACGAATGCGCTCGTCATCTCGCCATATCCTTCGAACATCTTTGCGAGGTGGTGGTCCTCAGTCACACTGGCAGGCAGATGCTTCACAAATACACTAGTGCACTTTAGACGAGGGTGGTGCATCCTCTGAGAGCGGCTGAGAAATGGGGCCACCTTGATTTTCAGCCCCTTCAGCTTGGTGCCATCTGCCATCTTAATGGCGGTCTGGGCATGGGGTGCTTCGAGGTATTGGATGTAGCCATATCCCAGCGAGGCGCCATCTGGCGCGAACAGCACCTTCGCGCAGGCCACGTGCCCAAACACCTCAAAGGTGTCGTGCAGAGTCTTGCTGTCGATCGAGGGATGGAGGCCCTGACAGAAGCGCCACAGTGCGAGTCAAAGGGGACTGAACGCAGCACTTCAGGAGTACAGTACTCCGTTACTTACACAGTAAAATACCACGAGGAAACTGGGTGAAGTGCAGTGCTCGACGGTACACTTGGTTTTCCAGCCGGGCGCACCTTCACGAAAACATTGGCGTCCTTCCGAAACTTCAGGGCTTTGTCCAGTGCCATCACTCTCATGATAGAGCCATGCAGACCGGTGTAGCTGAAAGCCGAAACCGCTCTGTTTACTGTGCAAACAGACAGAACAGGGTCAGAATCACACGCACATTACACCGGCAAATAGAAATGCAGCTCCATCGCACAAAATTTCTTCCACCATCCGTTGGCATTCACGCCTGCGCATGAAACCTGGTCCCCATTTACGCACTAGATGATCTTCACGCTACACATCCAAGCTGCCCGCACTAACGAGTTTCGTGACTCCTCTGACGACGGCGTGAGTAGCCTCTTCAGAAGACGCGGCAACACGCCTGGAACAATTTCGCCGCTCGTATAAGACTTAGTTCCAACCGTGGCAAATCGCGACCCGCCGGCGGTGACCGACTGCGGACCGACAAGCCCAAGGAGCGAGCGACAGCGGCTGCGGGTTTGAGGAATGGGGGGCGGCGACGAAGAACTTACCCTAGTCTCGGAACTGCGAGAGTGGCGCGCTTTGGGCGCAGCGCCGTCAAACATGGATGCCGCGTGCCGACACCGGGACTGTTGGCGCGCCCCGCCAAGGTTCGCAGGGCATGCATGAGGGAGCGCGATGACGCCAATCATCCCGTCATCCAGGGCAATTCCCGCCAATCGGGAAACCGCCACCATTCCGAGTTTCTGTCAACGGGGGAAGGCTTCCAGGGCCGCGGGGCGCACACAGGCCCACTGCGGCCGCCCCGCCAGCAGCCAGCGGCGCGAAAATTGCCCACACTCGGCGCGAGATGGCGTCTGCGCGCAAGGCGAGGACAATGCGCGGTCCCTGTCAACAAGCGAACAACCCTGGCGGGATTGGCACCATCCACGCTCCCCATTGGGCACGATCCACGCACATTGGGAATCCAAGAGCCGAGCATCCGGCCACAGAATTCCCGTTTATGCCCCCCTGGACAATCCCCACAGATTTCGACCCACCTGACCCGGTGTCCCAGGTTGTGTCGAAGTTGACGTAGGCGTACCCCTTCGAGGCGCGGGTAACGGAGTCGCGCACCACCCGCACGCTGGTCACCGGCCCGACCTGAGCCACACCGCCTCAGACTCAGGATCCCGCCCTGCGCCATGAGATCCCAACTGCACAATCCCGAAAAAGATTGCACGCCATCACGCCCGCGGCCCGTGGGCGAGGGCCGCCCTGGGAGGATGAACGAACGCCGGCGGGGCCACGGGCACCTTGCTGAACAGCTGGAAGAGGTCCATCTCGCCGGTGACCGGCGACAGGTCCCCCACGTAGACCGTGTTCTCCGAGGTGTATTTTGGCCTCGTCATGACTGGATTGGAGGGCGGATCGCGCAGCCAAAGGCAGCAGAGCGCGAGAGGTGGGCGGGGGCTGGTTGGCGGCGGCCGAGGTGCGGTCTGAACCGTTGGCGAAGAAGGGTTGGGGTGGGGAGAGCTCGCGGGCGAGACAGTGTCTCAGGTTGGCGGGGATGGGATGGGCGCGCCTTTTAAGGAGCAGCGGGGTGGCGGCAAGGCGACAGAATTTGCCAGAAACTCGCCTGGCGGGATGGTCCCCCTGGCGTTGACGGGACTTCTGTGTGGGGGCATTTTTCTCAGTGGATGATTGAGTTGCCGTGCGCCCTTTGCGACAGTTTCAAGGCCCCGGCTGACGCAAGAGGAGTGTGTATGGTGCGTGGGCACTCTCGGTTAGCTGCAGGGGAAATTGCCTCTCAGCACATCCCAAGGAGTTCGTCGCTGAAGCCAACCAAATGACGACTGTGCGGCCACGCTGCACGACAGCTGGACGGCTTGTTCCCCAGGAGGCGGCTCGCAGCTTATGTACTGGAAAGGGTTGGGCACCATCGCCAAGAGCAAAAGGGCTAGCGCCAGCACTGAACAAGCGCTGTGAGCGAATTTGGCACAACTGAACTGTTGCACTGAAAGGACGCAGGCCACCATTCTGCTGTGCGTATCGTCGAGTGGCGAATTACCTGTCAACCAATGCAACGAGTGTGCGGGCCTGTCTCCTGGGAGCATTCGGCCAAGCACCTTGTGCTGCATTGGCTGGTAAGCTAACTTTGTCTTGGCTATGCTGCGTTGGGGTGATCGAACGCAGCACCGACACATTCGCGAACGCCCCCAGCCACCCCCGCCACCCCGGCGCCCCGCCAGCCCACCCACACCCCTCCTCCCGCCCCACATCGCCCCAAGGCGCAAGGCCACATTCTCGACACGAAAAGGCAACACAAACCCCCCATGCCCGCTCCAAATCCCCATCCCGCCCCGCACTGTCCCCTCATTTAAATCGTCTCCTCGAGTACATGTCCGAGCCACGCGGGTAGGGCCCCCTCTCCGGCGGGCCCCGCTCAGGCAACAGCGGCGGCCGATCCACTGGGGGGCCCCTCTCAGCCGGCGTCCCCCTCTCCGGGGGTGGCGGCCTGCCCTCGGGCGGCGGGCCCCTCTTCCTCTCCCGCGACCTCCCCCTGGGCTTCCTGTCGTACGACCCCCGCCCCCCGCCCTCGCGGTAGTCGGGGTGGCCGCCCCCGGAGGCCGGCAGCGGCGCGGGCGGGGGCGGCGGCGGCGGATTGCCCTTGAGCATGAACGCTGCCTGCTGCAGGTCCTCCGCCTCCTCGTCTAGGGCGCAGCAGTGCTCCTCCAGCTCGAGATACTTGCGGCGCATCTCGTCGGCGAAGTTCTTGGCCAAGGCGAGCTGCGTCTCCAGGTGGTGGATGCGGCCCTCCGACAGCTCCCGTCCCATTTCCTCGTTTTCCTCCTGTATCCGTGACACCAGCCGTCAGGTACACCATAGTTATTATATCATACCCTTCCGCATTGTAACACAACGTTTGGCATTTTTATGCGGAGCAACAATGTCAAGGTAGCGATGCAAGGAAATGTGGAGCAGGCCCCGCCGCGCCGCGAGGGTCTCTGGAATGCTTGTGGCGTCTAGCGGCCCCGGATGCACGAGTCGCTGTGACGAAAAACGGGCATCTGAGGCCGTGTGGACTGAGGGAAGTCGCCGTTCCCGCTGTGGCCATGATCCGCCCCCAAAACAACGGCCTGTCGGAAAAATGCAGCGCAAAATTCGCAAATCTGTAAATTCAAAATTCGGAAGGGTTGAATATACTGCGTTTGTTCTTTCTCACATAATTGCCATCTAAGGAGAGATGTACCGATGGTATGAAGCATCTGTAGAAAACAGTATAGGTGCTGTCTGGCGCTCTTCAGCAATGTCAGCCAATTTGCGGCTGTCACCGCTGCAACTGTCTGGACAACACCTCCCTCGACACATGTGTCTTCCAGGGAGCCACGCAGAAGCCAGGAGGTGTTGTGTACGGAAAGAAGATGGAGGGCGTGGGCTTACAAGGGACAACGACAATTTGTGTCAGTGCAACCATCAGTGGCTTTCATGGCGGCCCACATTGTGGTGATTCAGGCCATGCATCGAGCACCTCCTTCGGGAGGACCAGTTCTGGAGACCGCTTCCTCATGGTGCTAGAACGATTTGGTAGTCTCCCAGTGCGTCAGCAGTGATAGCGATGCTAACCGGTGGGGTTCGGCCATCACGTGTTGCAGTCGTCGGCAGTCGGACACAGTGTCAAGCTTTGGTGAAACTACAAATGCACAGTGCCACGGCATTTTCCCCACTATTCGCCACTTGGATGCTATGCTCAGGACGTAGCTGTATTCAGCGGTACATTCACTGGCTCCATATTTTCCTGCCTTCTCAAAAAAACGCTTGCCACTTCCATGAGGCAGCACAACATTTCATGGGTCCCGAATCTATGATTGACTATGCCATCAGCATATGCCATTATCGCACAAGACACTGACATTAATGGGCGTAGGTCAGGGGAGCAAAATGTCCAGAGCGTGCTAGTGCAAAGTGAAAACAATGCGGAGTACAGCGCGATTTTGAAGCAGCAATCTATCTGGATACTAAGCGTTCGATTCGCTCGGCTGTAACCAACAGACTGATACAGATCCTGTTTGAACCAACTGGTTCTACGCTCAGGCAGTTTTTTTGTGGTGCAGACAGAGACAGCGATTGGCAGGCTTGGCAACAAACTGGCATCTTTTGTGATGGCTTTTCTACAGCGAACATTCAGTGCTCGCCACTGACTCTCACCTTTCAGATTGATTGAGATCAGGATGTAGGAAGTGGGAGCAAGCAATGAGAAAAGAATTGCTGACAAATGTTTTCACATGTTTCCTTAGCTTCTTGCAATTGTACTGAGTTATTGACCAGGACTTGTGCAAACTGAACGAAAAGGGGATCGCATCATCATATAAGGCCAACTGTGCCATTGGAATGATTGTTCCAGCAGCACAAAGGCAGCACATGTGCATGCCCACAGCCCAACCTGCAGCGTCTTGCACTTGGCCATCAGCATCCTTCCTGCCTTGCTGTCCTGGGTGAAGGTGACAGCCTCCAGCTCCTGCTGTGCCTTCTTCAGCTCAGCCTGCGACTTTTCGTACTCGCTCCTCAGGTGCTGGAACTCTTTCAACACTGCGGGGTCCAGCAGGAGCTGCTTCAGCTGGATTACAGCAGGCTCCGACGACTGCCATGCAGAGTGCAGGGCCCGTCTCAGCTCGATGCCCTCCATGTTCGTCCCGGACAGCTGAAGCTGCAGGGTGGCGATCCGGCGTGCTTGATCATCCAGTTCCTCCTGCCACGTGAACAAATCCAACCTGCTCGATTGAATTTCCCACAGGCGACACAGAACTGACCTTCCCACCTCGGGGATGATCGGTATTAATCCATCAAAATGCTGTGTTAGAGAATTCTTGTTCACTCCATGCACCTGGCATCACCTAAGGCCCATCCTTGGGCACCTTCATTGGCTTAACAATGGGCATCTTGCCTTTGAGATTGCTGAACCCAGTCCCTTGACCAGCATTTACTCAAGTTGTGATTCAGGTTATCATCATTACTCACGTAGCCCTGCCATGGCCCTGATCTAGCCTGCGCTGACTGTGCTTTGGTGCATGTTTGTTGACAGTTGCATACACACCATGGCTGGCACACACAAAACATAATATCCATCCCTTCCTGCCATTGGGGGTTTGTTTGTCGTGGCCATGGACAAAGAAACAGAGTCTTGCCCCATTCTCTGCAATCTGAGCCTTGTGATCCCACCATCCATAGGATCATCGATGCACATCTCACCTTGAATTTTGCATTTTTTGACACACATGCTGCAACAGCATCGATGAGGTCCTTTGCATCTGAATCTTGGCCAGCAAACGACACCCCAAGACTGGAGGCGATCGCTTTGCACACACCCATCCATTGCTCCCCAGCCAGTTGATTCGATTCCGGCTTTACCTGCAATGCCAGCTTGACATAATCAGGCACACAGGGGGCACCACAGCACTTCTTCCACACCTCTTGGCACTTGGCATCCGATAGTTCCTAATCCAGATTGTGCCTAATCCTTGTAGGTTAGAAGCCTGCTTTCGATGCAATTGTCGCACTCTGACAAGCAATGCACTGCAGTGCCCTTGCCCACCAACATCAGCCATGGATAATAGGACGATCAGTACTATTCACATTGACACAATACCCCCTGAAGACCAGTGCCTTGTGCGTCGTTTGCAGGCCTGAGTGCCAGTGTTTGATGGCTCCATGACAAAGAAACCTAACAACCACAACCACTTGCGATCAAGATTTTTGCTACAAGCATTGCTCCAACAAGTTCCATTAAAGTAAAAAGGTGACAGCCTTGATAATTTGGTTATTGAGGCAATGCTGGCCACGAAGTCCGTTTGTAGTGCATTGATTGGCAAGAAAGTGGGTGAAAGGAATTCCAGCCCAGGGTTTACAGTCTAAACGCCCACCTCAACCTCTGTTTTTGGAGCAGGTTCAGCTTCCATGGCACTGCCCCTGCATGTGACAAATGTGACACTTCAGAGCCTGCAGGGAACTCATGCTGACCAGACAAGCAGGTTAGCTTGTCTAGCAAAGAGCCCAAGCATATAGAAAGGTGATCGAAGGTCCGATACTGCAGTTGACACCATGAATTAGCAAAAACGCCCATCTCTAGACAACCTGTGGATAATGGCAATGATGTGCACAGCTGCAAACTCATTTGCTGCAGGAAGTGTTCTGTCAGGATGTGAAGGCTTTGGTCGCAGTTCACAAGAGATCAACAAATCAGTGGCAAGGACATGGAGATGTTATTCCTTTATGGTTGCTTTTGCCAACACTTTGCCCAAATGTTTCCAAAGCACAGTGAAACGGAGGTCAACGCCTGCCACCTCTTCGCCTTGATATTAGAAACTCATGCCCATTCTTTCATTTCTGGTGCACCATGTGCAGTAAGTCTCTATGCCTTACACATTCAGATCACAGGACTGTTCCCAGCCATACAATGCATTGATGTAGAACACACCCTTCAGCAACGTTTCTGTCACACACACAGCACACGACCATGCAATGGCCTTGACGACCAGAGTGAATTGGGTGTGCACCATCGGCATGTGATGACAACTGCTCAGTGTTCCACAGCTGAACGTGGCAGCAAGCTCTCTAGCATACAACCCTCAACAGCGTCCCACCTGATTTCTTCTTCGGCAGATAGTGGCTTGGCGTCCTCCATTACCTGCAGGGGTTCCACACCATGCCTAAATTCCAAGGCCAAGGGCGTTCAACGCGCAAATGGTCATACAAATGCACTCCTCAGTCAACTGAATTCCACGCTCAGCTTCCCAAGCCTGCACGAAATGCACCTGGTGTTGGAAGTTGTCAGACGCAACGCGCCAAGAGTCCGGCAGTCCGATCCCGCGCCGTGAGTCGCAGGTGACCAACCACACCTTGCGATGAACATCCCTGATTCGACATGTACCCCCAAAGATTACTTTCCGCCACCCTAGGGACACATCCGACTTGGCAGCTAAAATTCCGCCGGACGGCGTCTCTGGCATCGTGTCCCTTGCCCCCGACCTTTCGACCGGGGCACCAACATCGACCTCTCCCATCTCGGGCTGCGCAGCACACGACGACCTTACCTGCTCCTCTCCCTCCTCCACCTTCACCTCCGCCTCCGCATCTCCGCCGAAGTCTAGCTCCGCGCCGTAGTAGATGTCGTATCCGCCGAACAGATCGTCCTGCGCGTCGGTGCTTCATGAGCAGCTGGCGAAAAACACGCGCTGCGCCAGTTCTGGGTGGCAGCATCGCTCGCCATTATGCTGCGTGATCGGGAGAGGCATGAACGGGACGCTGTCCTTACCCCTTCCATTGCGCCACCGCTGTGGCACCTCCCCGAGAAGTGGGCGACCGCACGTTCCTTGGGTTTCTGTCGTTTATGCACCTTGCAACATATCCTGCAGAAATGAAGTTGTACTATGTATTCTATTTCTGAACGCGAAGGCCCACCATAATCGTCAAAGATGACCTGGTGGCCTCATTTGGCCCTTTTGAGTGGTGTTTTCGATACCTATGAGTCCAGTATCCCACTCACAATACGGTAGGACAGCTGTGATTGGAAAACACAACAATGCTTGCACAGCACTGCCTACAAATATATTTTTCACCGCTTTTTTGTGGTCGCCTTCACGGTGAAACACTTCTGAACACTTTCTCGGTGTTGTGTGCCTCCCTCGCTGTCCTCACAGCACGTCGCACCTTGCGAGCTGGCAGTCGACAGGCACACAGCTGTGTGCCCAGACCCGTCAACCCTTGTACAACGTTGCGAGTAAGACAACACAACAGAGCTCCGTACTAGAGGTGGCCACTCAAAGGTGCCATCCGGTCCGTTAAATCCGGTTCGTTAATTTTTACCAGCTGTCCGTTAAATTCCGTTAAAGAAGAAGGGAGAAAAATTCAGAAAAAAGGAAAAAAATCCAAAAAAATCAAAAAAAACCCAAAAAATCACAACAACTGCGGCAAGTTGAAAATCTAGTATGCATAGGTTGAAATAAAATACAAACATACGCTCTAATAGCGAATTCCATAAACTACAAGTATGAATAAAACCCAAAAATCCCCCAAAAATCCAAAAATCCGTTAATTTTTGGTTAATTTTTGTCTTTTTTCGTTATTTTCCATTAATTAACGGAAAATTAACGGAAATTAACCTCTGTCCGCTGTTAACGGATCCGGGTGGCCACCTCTACTCCATACTACGCGCCTCCTCGGTGTGTCAACGAGCTTATATGCAAGCTTACTCATAGATACATGCCTTCCCGGCGTTTTTCACACGTCTATAGCACGCTGAGACGTGTGGTTTCATGTTCAGCTAGACCTGCTGACCCGCGGTACTTTCCACAACAACACAACCTGTTCGAGAAAATGGGTGCGTGCTACGTGAAGGTTGTTGGTGTGGGGCTCCTGCCCTCTTTGAGCCGCGGACCCGCCTTGCCAGGCACCTAGGTCCTTACGGGGACCTAGGCGGGACCACCCCAACCTATTCCCATATTGTATAATATCGTTAAGCGGGTTGGGTGTTGCGGGGCTCTTTTAATGGCCTCCGCTGGTCCCTTTTTGTCGCTACAAGGCCTCATTCTCATCCGGGCCGGCATCTGCTCGGGTCGATGGTCTCCAACCCCGGGCGGCTTAACGGGGCGCCGCCGCTCGCTGCGCCAGGGCCCTTTTGCGATCTGGGATCGGGCGGTCCTGCCGTTCGAATACGGTGGGTAGCAAGGTAGAGGTGGCCACCCGGATCCGTTAATAGCGGACAGAGGTTAATTTCCGTTAATTTTCCGTTAATTAACGGAAAATAACCAAAAAAGACAAAAATTAACCAAAAATTAACGGATTTTTGGATTTTTTGGGGATTTTTGGGGTTTTTTCATACTTATAGTTGATGGAATTCGCTATTAGAGAGTATGTTTGTATTTTATTTCAACCTATGCATACTAGATTTTCAACGAGCCGCAGTTGTTGTGAACTTTTGGGTTTTTTTCGATTTTTTTGGATTTTTTTCGTTTTTTCTAAATTTTTCTCCCTTTTTCTTTAACGGAATTTAACGGACAGCTGGTAAAAATTAACGAACCGGATTTAACGGACCGGATGGCACCTTTGAGTGGCCACCTCTATAGCAAGGCAGCTTGCTCCCCGGGCCGTGAGGCCCGTGCGGAGCGCGGCAGTGAGCCAAAACGGGTAACAGAACGGGGAGCAACGCACCCCCACGTACGTACTGGTGGTCGGCCATATTCCGGCCCGGCCACCCGTCACACAGACACCACACAATGTACATCAGCACGTCACGACTGTATCGCCCAGCATACCCCCGTATCGGACCCACTATCGATACACCGCGGCCCAGTCTACCCCCACGGCCTATCCCTTAAGTACAGGGATTTCCCTAGGGCTCAAACTACTCCATACCTGGGGGATAATGACAAGTAAAGAGCCTACGAGTATCTGGAGATCACAAAGAATCCAAATAATGGGTCTAATCCCATAGATGACTAGCCAACCATGACTAATGGCCATAATCCTCTCGACCCCCATGTGTTTCCACAACATTGGGGGTATTTCATCATACTTTGGGCAGGGCGTCCCCCACACCAAGGGGCCGTTAATAGGGCGTCCCCCACATCAGGCCAGTGTGCATAACAGTGCGCCTCGCACAATACCTTGCACTACCTTTGGTGCTTCTTCGACGCAGAACGCACGTGCACACACAGCTAACAAGGTCACAAAACACGCCACCGCCCCTCGCAGGGCTGTGCGAATAGGTTCCATGGGTGGAAATATGAACGACTCTCCCTTTTGGGGTTTGAAGCAAAACCCCATCGATGTAAACAACAAGCACAAGAAACGAGGGTTGCCAAAGGCTCACTCCTTGCAGTGCCGACCATGACATGGGTTGGGCGCATATACAGAGACGGGCACACCTTTTGGGTACCCCAGGCGATAGGGAAGCCTTGCCAAAAGCCTTACATTTGGATGTTCAAAATCACAACAGTGGTACCAACTCGCAAACGTAAGCAAACAACAAGGACGCGCCTCCCCCCGCGCCACCAGCTCAAATACAGGGGGGGGACGCAACCCGCTGCTCTTTCCCGGCCATCCCTTGCAAACGCTAGACTACGTACATAAACACACCCTGGGCCCAAAGGCAATCCCCCGCTGCGTTTTCCCGGGCAACCCACGGCCGGTACTCCTTGCCAGACAGGGGATGCAACCCGTTGTTCTTTCTCGGCCATCCCTTGCAAATGCTAGACTACGTATATAAACACACCCTGGGCCCCACGGCAATCCCCCACTGCGTTTTCCCGGCCAACCCACGGCCGGTACTCACTGCAATAATGAATGGCTAGTAATCCTATGCCAAATGCACACATTCAGTCGCAGCAACTATAACAAAATTCGTCATGGTTTGTTATCTGATGCCTTGGACTTTGATGTGGTCTTCGATGATGTCTTGGATTTCCTGCACTTAGTTGGACGCCTCCATACCCTGGTGCGTGCTCCCATGCTTCTTTTATGCTTTTTTTTCCTTGTGCGGTGGTCTTCCCACCCTTGGCGCTGTATGTACCATCCCACCAACGCCCCCATGCATATACAAAAAAAAGCACACCTTCATCCCTGCTCTAGACTTCGCCAATGGGTTCAGCAAGAACGAAGATGGACAAATAGATATGCAAGTGGACAACTAGGGATGCGCCACCTCACAGGCCAGCCTCGCCATGCATGGGTTTTACATGACCGTTAGTCGTGGCCTGCATATGAATGTCTGCCCAGCGATGGGAGGTGCGATCAAGGCACTGGCGCCCATGGCGGAGGTATGATGAAGCAGGCGAGGGCAGATCCGGGCAATCGTGAACACACTGATGCTGAAATGATAGTGATTAGCTGATGAGACAACAACCTGTGAACCCATTGATTTATGATTCAATGGTTGCAAAAGGATAGTTTATTTGATGAGGAAGCCATGGGGGTGGCACTTGACAGTGACTTATGAGTGAATAGCGCTGATCCTAGGGTCAGTGGGAGTCACTGGATGTGAGGGACAGTGATGGGTAGCAGATCACGATAGTGATCCGGGAAGCTGATATGACTGACAAGGGATGATCCAGGAAGCTGGCCAATAATGATCCGAATTCTCAGAGAACATTATGAGCATCCTCGGACAAGGGGGCAGCATGCGCAGGGTTTGCTGCAGCCACCCACCGTGGGAGCTGACCACCAGGCTGTTGTTTTGGACGAAAATTTAACATATACCTGGTTGACCTTGGAAATCTTGGAGCGCCTCCTTGTGTGTGAACGTCAAAGTGCCTTCAAAGTACCATCGCTTCAAGCGATCGACTTTAGGAACGTGCCAGGGCCGAGTCTGAGAGCGCGGGCGCTGCCCCATTGCCGTACAGCTTGTGGCGCGCCGATTTGTCGACTTGTGCAGCGATCGTGACGTTGCATTGCGTTCACATGGCGATTCTGTGAGTTGCATGAGGAGCTGGTGAACAGCGATCGTAAGGCAGCGTACGTAGGACGCCCTCGAACACACAGGTATGTGTCACAGCTGCAAAAGAACGCCGGTTTGGTGACCCGCTGTGCTGGTCATAGGCGGTTTGAGCCATCGCCATCACAGACACGACATCGCGGACAATTCAGGTGCCAGAAATCGTCACAGGGTCTCCCTTGCAAACCCTCCAGGATCGTTCATGCTGAGACACTGGAAAGTGACCCCTAAATCCAGCTGCGTATCGCTGACCATGGCATGAGTCAGACTGGAATGGAGCGCTGCCCTCCACCTGGCTTCATCAGAAAATCTGTATCCGCTGCTGAACGGCGTTGCCATCCCTCAATCGAGGTGCTGCATGATGAACGACGTGAATCCATGAGCTGCGTTGTTTGTGAGGTGAGTCATCGCCTGATTACATGTCAGTTAGCTACGATGAACAATGATCAACGTGTAATCTGGGCCAAATGCTGAGCCGGTCGGTGGAGATACTTTGACTTCAATGATCAGCCTTGATTGTTCACGGACACTGAATTGATGTGCCTCGCTTCGGCAGCCCCTGTGCGAGGAAGTGGAAGGCTTGGGTCCTCACATTAGTGATCCAGCAGCAGCAGCTCACAGCCCCAATGGGCAGCTGCAATGGAGGCTGCTTCAGCAACGGTCCAATGTTCAACAGGCGGGAGGGCACCTTCTTCATATCGCGACGTGCTTCCTGGTTGCTCTTTTGTCGCTGATTGTGCCATCGTTGACTGAGACTGATTAGGCCCATGCCGACGGCCAATGCGCTGCTGACCAGCAGCTGCGTCCATCTATCATGCACAAACAGTATGGCACACAGTCCTTACAGAACCCAAGAACCAGAACAAAGGATGAAAGAAAAGGAGGATTGCTGTCTCGCTGCAATTCACAAATCATGGTGTCTTCAGTGACCATCAGTCATGCGGACATGTGGTAAAGAGGTCTCCTGGCCAGGGCATGGGCACGGACAAAAGGGCCGGGAACATGCCAAACCAGAAGAACGCAGAATAACTTGGGGCGATCGATGCAGCTTTCATGCAGAGGGATGAAGTGCTCCCATGCACAAATCAACACCCCTGTGCCGTTTAGTTGATGCGTCAGCACTCCCCTCCGTACAGCCGCCTGGTGGCTGGGTCCCGCCCCAGCAGCAAGTCTTAGGGAAGACATTATGTCGATTTTGGTATGCTTAGCATCAAATTGAAGCTAGGGTGTGTGTGCGTGTGTGTCCAGACCTGTGACGCTAAGAGATTATGCAATTGACACAAAATCGACATGAGCGAGGAAGGTGCCCAAAAACGCTATTGAAAATCGGCAAACAACCCCTGACATGTTCCTAAGCCTGCTGCAAGTGTTCGATCTTCAAAGAAGGCCTTTTAATGGATCAATTTGCAGCCATTGAGGCTGCCCACCTACAATTGACACTAAGCGTACCAAAATAGACGTAGCGTCCTCCCTTACACATCGAGTATGATCGAAGCACAGCTGAGCTTAATACAGTCCTAGTTGCATAGGTACCTTGACCACAACCCAAGGGAATGGCAACTGTGGAATCCCAGTAGCCAATCAGGATTTGATTATACCAAGGAATGCCTCACGGGTGACGTCGACAAGGCGCCAACGACACAGCGGTGGCTCTGTCGAGCTTGCAGCGTAAATATCTTAGATAAAGCTACAGAGCCCCTGCAAACATGTACGCCGACCACAGTCCCCTTTCTATCGCCATCCAAATTTGTGCACGTGCGGGACATGCAAGGGTACGCCCATGCCCGACCTTGATCCTGGGAACCCACAGCGTGGACATTTGAATGCCTGCCGTCCCTCTGTGGGTGCATGGGTTGCCCTTTGCTCCACTAGTGGCTGACATGACCACAAAGGAAGACTTGTGAGTGTGGTCCATTCTCACCAGCTGTCAAAACGGCGGTGAAGGAAAGATATCCGTCTTGGCGTCAGCAGCCAATGCAGCTATGAAGTGGCCTCACACTGCAAGGCAGACTGCGTGCATGGTGTGCTTTGGGGGATTTGCAAACACCTCAGGCCCAACTCTTCAATAGCTTGCAGCATGTCCTCAGGCACAGGTGCCTCCAGCAGTAATGAACTGTCGTCAGTTGGGCGTTTCAGCCCCATCGACAACGCGTGAAGGGCCTGACGACCTATCCAGGGTCCCTGATGAAAGAAACCAGACAGTCTTTATGGATCCTGCAGTGAGTGCATTCCTACAAACGAAGCGGTTGCATCCACCCTGACCCAAGGCACCAGACAGGAATGTTCACATTGTGAACTTCACAATATTATCAGCTGCATTAATTGGTAGGTGACCACATGCAGGGACAAAGATTCATCGAGGCACAACTTATGCTGGTGAAAGCAGGATCGCAGAACGATGCTCCATCAGGCACACCAGCTGGCAGCGTAGCATGGTACGATCAACCTTAGTAACGCCTGTGTACATCTCTGCTGCTGCAGTGCCCAAGGGACCAAATGGCAAGTGGGGACACAGGCACAAGATGCAGCAAGCACGAAGCAAGTGGCCATCGAGTGCATGAGCGTCTGATACAGGACATGCCTGCATCCAACACACTGATGCACTGAAAATGTAATGTATGGTACAAGTGGGGAAACAGGCATAAGATGCTGCAAGCAGGCAGCAAGTGGCCATCGAGTACATGAGTGTCTGATACAGGACATGCCCGCATCTAGCACACTGAAGCGCTGAAAATGTAATGTATGGTATACTTTATGTTGGCTGCCCTGCAGTTGATGTAACTAGCTTCTTTTTTGTTCATGGCGGCGGCAGTAACCTTGTCTGGAGCTATGTTCACCTCTGCAAACTGTTCTGGAACAAGATGGAATGCTAAACACCATAGAGACAACTATTGAAGTACATGTGGGCGTGAACTGAGCCCAGTGCCTGCCTGAAAGGTACAAGGCCAGTGATTCACCACAACACTGCAGATGAAGCCAACCGCATCTAAAAATAAAGTCATGACTTGGGCAGGAAGAGTTGAGGTGCCATACCTGCAGTCCATACAACTCATCCCCAACAATGGGATGGCCAACATGTGCAAGGTGCACACGTATTTGATGCGTACGGCCAGTCTTCGGCCTGCACAACAGCAGTGCCACACCACTCCTGGGGACGGTCCAACCCTTCAGGCGGGCGTACCACCCATCCTGCGCTGAAGGCACATCCAGGTGCACATCAGGATTGCAATCCAGCACCCTGAATTCTGTGATGGCCCCCCGCCCTGATTCGTCGATCATTCTTGGGACACGCTCGCTGGGGTCTCGGGCAATTGGTGCCTCCACAATGAAGTGTTCTGCTGGTGGAACACCAAGTGCAACAGCCAAGTAGGACTTCTTCAGGGACTTCACCCTGCACAAAGCCAGGCGCTGCTCAATCTTGTACACAAATTTGGACTACCATTTCAGCTGGTACAGCAGCATTTGCAGCCTCTGGTGCCAACATGAATGAAAACTGTTTGGAGGCTGCTGCTAATAAGGCAAATGTGTGGCCAGCAATGTGCCTATTGTTGTGTTGTTAATGCCAATAGTTATGATTGATTTTCAATGCTTCCCACTGGCAAACAGCAGAGATGCTCCCGCAATCCTGGTTGTTTCTTGCACATAGAGATCATACTGCACTGGTAGAGCTGCACTGCAGAGTTGCGGCTGAGATCTCTGACTCCAAGCCGCTCAAAGAAAGGTAGGCATGCCATCCCTGCTGAGCTACAATGTAAATGTGGTTTGGCACAACAATTAAAGGAGCAGGCAGCAACCACTGTTCAGGCAGTGCTCACTTGAACTGTCTCTGGATATGTGCTGCTGCCGTTGCAGACTTCGCCACAGCCAGCACGCCTGTTGTGTTCATGTCCAGCCTGTGCACAACGTTGGGCTCATACCCCAAGTAGCCAAGTGCCCTATTCACCATGGTGCCGCCCTGCCACCGGTGCCTGGGGGATGTCGTGACGAAGGGGGGTTTGTTGACTGCCAGTAGTGCCTCATCTTCATACACAACATCCAGGGGATCATGGTCCACGACAAGGGGGATGGCTCGCAGGGCCCGCACCAAGAGTTTTCTTGTCCTGTAGGGCTGACACACTGGAATGAGAGGCCCTGGAGGGAATTTTGTGTTGGAGACAAAACCCGATGAGTGAAGGTAAAGCATCACTGGTGCTGATGAAAACAAGCCCTGAACATGGAACAGGTGCAACACAACAGATATGCTCCTTCACACCAAGGCTTGTTGTGGATGTCCACTGACTGTAAAAGGGGAAGCACCCAGCAACAACTGGAGTCCCCCTTGATCGGTCACACAGATTGTTTTGGGACAGGTAATCGATCCCCTGGACATGAAGAACACCCATTGAGGTGCAGGATAAAAAATTGACCCAAGAAAAAGCAGCATGGCTATGCAATATTTCTGGTCAGATCTGGCCTTCTTATTCCACTTTGTGAATCCAGCAGGATGGTATCAGATATGAAGGAACAATTGCTGAAACAGCATTGCCCCAGTATTTCAACCAGCAGGTGTCCTCATTTGCAGCAGGGAAGGAACCTGTGGCCAGCAGTGTCTGGCTTCACCAAAAACTTTTCAATTTCTTGACACAAACAAAGTTAAATGCCTAGAACTTGTTGAGGTGAACGGTGCTATGTTGCATATTGGACATCACATTAATGATATGCTAAATACTGCTTAGCAGATGCATGGGCACTGCCTGAATTCTGTTTACCATAATTGTCAACAGGCCACAACCAATGAAGCCCTATTGCAACATTGTGAGCACCGCCACAATTGCCAATATTTGGACCCCAAGCACAGTATATGGGTGGCAAGGTGCCTGACTGAAGTGAGGTATGTTATGTACACCAGTGACAGAAGGCTCTAAGCACCCACTCCAGTAACGCACCTAGAACATGACCCTTTTTTGCGTTGTCTCCGATGCAAGCGCTTCAGATGCACACCTTTCATGTGGGAGACCCATCAACATCGCAACTTCTTTGGACGATCGCTTTGCTTCCCAGCCAAGGCGCTTGGGCTCTTCAAACTCATAGTACAGTCCAAGGTTTTGTAGTTCGGTCTGCTTTGCATTTGCCCTTTGCAAAAATTCGTCGATGCTGTCGACGTCCATTTGTGTTGGGTCCTGCTCCCAAAACCATTGTGAGAAACGAGAACTTAATGCATTCACATAGCACGAATCGCCAATTCCACATTGTAGGGCCGCTGCTTGCCTGGAACAGAGATAAGTTGCTGTTATGTTGATCTTTCTTGTGATCTAATTCACAGTAGCTATTGAACACAGCCACTGCACAGCACAGTGACAGCTGGAAGCAGGAAGTTGAGGCGAGTCAATGCGCAAGACCAATACCTCGTCCTGCAGCAAGTCTTGACAGCACTTCTGCATGTGGTCCATGAGTGTCTCTGTTCTAATCCATTCAGTGGCACAGGCGGGGCACTTGTACCTCCGCTGCTCAGCTTTCCTTCTCTGAGCGTTTGCTATCCTTTGGCGAATCCACTCCTCTGCAATCCACAAGCAGGCATTGCACAACAACAGACTGAGATTGGATGACACAACTACATGAGAACACATTAAGTCTTACAAGTGAGTGCTGCAAGTCTTGCTGCATCAATGTGAATCGCTTGTTAGCAGATGCCAAATTCAACATGATATAATACTACTGCAGTACTAACATAATAGTGTATAACACAATATAACACAATACTGTTGTAGTATTAACATAATGTTTTAATTTCGAACTGCTGTGATAAAATTCAATCTGGCACACATATATGAACAACAGTGCACTCTTGTGGACTACTGCTGTGTTCCACTGTTGTGGACAACCATGCAGAGTGGCTATGGTGCGTGCTGCAAAAGCACCGTGCCAGTCCAAAAATCTAAATGATTTGAAATTGTCTCTGCCCCAAAATCACTGATGCCCAGTCGCCACCAAGGTAAAAGTAATCATTTTCACACCAATGCTCACAAGAGGGATTTGAGCACCCTGCAGCACATGCACCTCTCCAAACTGCTGGCAATGCTAGTTGTGGGCCTATTCCAACTTTCAAAGTTGTGCAAGTGCCCAACAATTTCCATCAGTCAGTGAACAGGGCAGGACACTTGGCAGCCCAAGGCTGGTTTGATGGCCAGGTTATGCACTGGCTTCTAAAGGTAGTTGTGTGTGTGTGTGTGTGAGTGAGTGAAATTCCATTACAATAACAAGGCTTGGTATCCCCCTATTCAACTCCAACCAGGAGGCTATGCAGGAGGGAGCCCCGGGACCCATGGCAAATACAACAAAATGTCAGAGTATCTGTTCGAAGAAGCATGTCCCCATGAAAATAAAGAAAACGGGATGTCCAAACCCGGCTCGCCAACAAGATTCCAGCATTCCACCTATCCAAAGAAACGGCCTATTTAAAAGAAAACAAAAGAAAACCGATCAAAGTAAAACCAGAGGTAATCAAAGAAAACACAGCTAGTAGTATCCATGGACTCCAGGCACCAAAATCTCGCGGGGGATGTACTCCTCCCAGGTTCCGTGTGTATAGGCCATTAGCCGGTATCCGTTCCTCCAGATCGCACTTGTTCCCTGGTCCCTGAAAAACTCGTAGGATGGTCTGAGGAGGACCTTCCACCGAAGCTGGAGTGGTGACAGGTCGTGGTAGACCCGTGTGTGTGTGTGTGTGTGTGTGTGTGTGTGTGCGCGCGCAAATCTGCACTCAAGTAATTTGTCAAATTGTCAGATTCGCTGCAATTGGGCCAACGTCCAGCAAGTTGGACATATCACGATGCCTATCAAGGCCTCAGGGAAATCTGTTCTTCAATATTGAAGGCACCATTTTTTTGAGCTCCAGCAACTACGCCTGCAGCTGCAGCTGCAGGATTCTTTTGAGGAGCACCCAGCACTACTTTCATGCCCATTTCCTAGTTCATGGCATTGTGCAACCCAATTACACAGGCAAGATGTCTTTTGGCCCATGGGCCTTGGCATTGTTCATGAACTGGAAATGTTGCCATTTCTCCCAAGGTGTACCATGTGTATTTGCAATCATCGTTGCACACATTTGGTCACATGCAGTCAAACTGGACATCAGTATATCCAAACTTGGCGATGTGCGCAAATGAAGGAGGCGAATGGAAGTCAAAGACTATCAACAGGAAAGCAGGCCAAACAAATGGAAACCTGGGTTATGCATGAAGCCAGGCTCATAGAGGAGCCAAGCACTTGTCGGATGCTGCTATGATGGTCATGGCCTTCAACAGTTGTGCACGATCGATGTGCTGTTCACAAACTATGATCTGTCGAACGAATCGTACGCAATGGGCAACTCCCCTTGTGTTTCCTCACTTTACAACATACAATAATTACTTCGTAGCTCTTGCTCACAAGCCAACAATGAATGATCGACACATGGGGCCCAACACTTGCATGCAGCCCACAACCACAACCAGAACGGCCAACAACCACAACGACCACAACCGGAATGGCCAATGTTCAGCAACGAAAACGCCCCCAAACTATCTCGAGAAGGCACAATCCGAAAGTATGGCAGTCAGGGGGGAACATTCCAGAGGAAACACTTTGTGGAAGCAAACAGCATCGTTGCAGGAACAGTGCCTGTCATGGTTCGCTTTTGCCAAGCCCGATTCCAATCATGATCACATCGGATTAAGCAAACTAAATCTTAGGAATTTACAGGCGATGATGGGCGCAGAAACATGACGTCAAGCGAAGCCTAGTTCCTGTTCCAATCCGCACAAGCCTTCACCGCTTACCCCTGTCCACGCCCTCCGGCATCCTCGTGTGGCAGCGAAGCACCCACACTCTCGGCGCCCCGGCCTCCCACCAGGCCCCTCCCAGCCTCTTGCACTCCCACCCGGTCCTGGCCCATTGACCCCTGGCCCAGCACACCGGCTCCGCATCCTGCCCCATTCTGAGGCCGACGGGGCAATTAATGCCGGGGCAGCGCACGGCGAAACGAGGATGGAAGACTGGTGCCCGCATGGTCGTCCTGCCCACGCCGCCGGCGCGGATGTTGCAATCGAGTGGGCACAGTCACGGCTGGACTTCGGCAGGAAGCAATGTGGCCAGTAGGCGGCAGGACGCTTCCCAGGCGGGGCGCCTGCAGATGGGCGTCTGCCCACGGCTCTTCGGCTTCAAAAGGACAGTCGCGAAATGTGGGTTCGGTATCGTTGTTGGGGAAAGGCGCAGCCCCGTACTGGTTTGGTACCAAGTCAAAGACAATGACTGGGTTGAACAGCGTAGCCGATTTGGGGCGCAGCTCGCAGCTCGCACAATCGTGGACATCCTAAGCACATGCAGGACCGCACTGCTGCTAGGTGGAAATAATGTTACTGCCTGTACAAAATCGGTGACTGCTTGCACCAAGTCGCATGCACACCATGCCCTCACCTCAGTTTTAGGTTTGGGTTCAGTTTTACTCTGGTTTTAGGGTTAGGGTTGGCTAGGTTTAGGTTTAGTTTTTAGGGTTTAGGGGTTAGGTTAGTTTTGGAGGGATTTGGTGCAAGCAGTCACCGATTTGGTGCAGAAAGATACCGTTTTGGTGCGGCCAGTATTTTTGTGCCGGGTGGAGAATTTGATGTATTAGTAGTGCTGCATGCGCGCCCAAACCACAGTCCCCATCCGTACAAGGTGATGTCAGATCATGATGACAAGCAGGAAGCCGATTTTTTTTAAATGAATACTCAAAGTACAAAGATCTATAGCCGGTGTACTATGTGAGGTGCCTGTGTCCGTGGTGTAGTCGGTTATCACGTCAGCCTTACACGCTGCAGGTCCCCGGTTCGAACCCGGGCGGACACAAGCGTATAAAGAAGAGTGTTCTGTTTCACCTGAGGTGGCCCAGCCCACGACCCCACGACCAAGTCGCCCAAAGGCCCAAAGACAAGCGCTTTGAGCTGCACTGTGCTGTCCCCAAAGCGTCGACGTTCCGCCCGCATGAACAACAACGTGCGGGTCATGTGCCTCTTGGAATGCATTATCCTCCATGCAAATCTCACCCATCGCCAGCACATTGCGTCAGGGCTCCCTCCACAGGGACGCCACCAACCACCTGCATGCCTGGTACACCTCTTGGAACGCTCCTGGCTCCTACCTCCCCCCTGCGCATGCAGCGCTGCTTTATTTGTTGATCGGTTCACTGATGTCCCATTTTCTTCCCCTCTTCCGGCCGTTCCGTGGGGTCCAAGTCCCAGTCCGAATTTGTGCTGCTGTCACCGAAGACCGAGCGCCCAACTGAACGGGCCCCACGAATCACCAACGCATCGGCTCGGAGGGCGCTGTCTTGTTGCTCGGTCTGGTCGTGAGGCGCCCTGCCGGTTTCGCTGCATCCCCTCACGGCTTCCTGCGTGCCTGGCCGGCCCAAACCACACACAGCTCCCTTCGAGTCACGGTGGGGTGCCCCTGGGGGCCGTCTGCCATCCATGGAGGACGGCTGCTGCGGGTGCTGCGGCTATGACTTCGATTGGGAGGGCTGCACGGAAAGGTGCCGGTCGATGGGCCCCGTGTGGGCGGGCGCCCTCTTCGGCGCCGGCGTGTGGTGCATCCTGGACGTGGTGTGCATAACCACGAAGTACAGCGATCCGATGCCCTTCTACGCGTACGTGCCCGGCCTGGTGGCCGCCCTGGCCGCCCTGCTGCTCAACGTGACATCCAGGGAGCGGCTGGCGTCCCTGGAGGGGGAGGGCGAGGATTGCTGGGCGCGGGTGTGGCTGCTGTTCTGCTACCTGATGTCGATCGGCGCGGCGGTGGGAGCGGTGGTGGTGCTGTTCAGCGACGTGGGGCACCCATTGGGCGCCTACGCGGGGGCCACGGGGGTCATGTCCACGGGGCTCATACTGGGGGGCGGCCTGCTGATGTGGGTGGTTCGGTCGACGGATGGGGAGTAGTCGGGGGTGGGAGGCTGCTGATGTGCTTTGTTTGAAGCTGAAACGCTAGGAGGTCCCCCCTTGCGCCCTGTGGAGGCCTCCCAGGTGGCGGGCGCCCTCGTGCGAGGAAGTGGAAGAATAAATGGAGTCCCGATTGCGCAAAAGGGGTTGTCGTCATCGCCTTGCGTCGGCGCGTTGCCGAGTTGATGGGGTGGATTTCCTTTGTTCGCGAAGGTGGGACTAGGCTGCTCGGCCGCTGAGATGAGGCGGGACTCGAGCGTCGCGGCTGTGGCCTTGGCGTTCGCTTGAGTCCTTGCTTGCTTTTAGATTGTGGCTGCCATGGAGTCGTAGCGTCCAAGTATTCGGTGGCTGTGTCTCCACAGGCGCCTTTTGGCGCGCAGCTGCAAACGGCAAGGCAAGTGTTCAGATCACCAACTTTTGTCAGGCCTTTTGGCAGCCATGTGTGCTGCCAACGCAGCAGCTATGAGTTAAGACCGAAGCTGTTACGCTACAGAAAACACAGGTGGATAGCAGGTGGTATTCAACTCATGCTGAACCTCTCTCAAAGAAGAAAACTTTCGGAGAAGAGTACTTGTTGCCAGGTTGTTTGGTGGTGAAGAGATGGGAGTACACAGCGGTAAATTGGGAGGGTCGGTTGTACTTTCGCAAGTGTTTCTGATCACACAAGGCAAAAAATTGAGAAGAATATTCCTCTCAGGGAGACTTGTGCCAGTGAGACCATGTTGCTTGATCACATGGGGTGTAAATGTACGCAGTATCTGCATCTTGTGCACATTCGCAAGCAGCACCCACGCATTTGCAGATGCATGCGGGCATGGTTTCGTTCTCCTTTTGTGGAGGTTGCTGATATGGTGAACATTTTGCCACATTGAATCACCTGTTTCCCCAGCTTCTATTTCGGATTGTGGGCATGGATAAACAACACACAGGATAGCGTTGCACACTGCTGCCAGACTAACCACGATTCTGGCATGAGATTGACCTCAACAAGCCAACAACTCGAGAGAGGCTGTGCACAACAGCTATGAGTTCGGGCTGATTATATTGACATCTGCAGGGTGCCTATGTCGCAATTTGCAGCTGGCAGAATGCACTGGGAACAGACAGTTGACCCCGCTGCAGTTGCAGTATATGGATTGGTTGGAAAGTGGCAAATCTCATCAACTATGGAACTGCCAGTTTCCCATTCTTCCTGGTTGAAAAGTCCTGCTCTGGGCCCTTCACTGCTGGTTTCTCTTAGCGCACTCTGCAATGTGAACAGAACCAACAGAACATGTTGGACACACTGCAACAAAGGCATTGGCACAAAGACATGCAAAGATGGCGTCAAGTCAACAATGATAACAACCAAAGCGCAGCACCTTGTGTTGACATCAGTGGTTGGAGCTCAAAACGTGTTTCTTGCTTCCCGCTCTCGTCCCCAAGCCAGGAAACACCTCTCGATTGCCCATTCTGTGCGCTGTGATTGCTGTGTACTAGCACAAGAAGAACTTTGCCTCAGCGTTTACTTATTCTGTCAAACTGGCCTCCTCTCAACACAACAACAACAGCCCTCGCTCTCAATCAAAAACGTACCATCCACCGTTGCTGAGTCGGTTACAGCATAGGCCCCTTGAACAAGCCACAGCCTTGGTGGAAACCCCACACTCACCCAAACGCTTCGTCACAAAACTGGAGGAGGATCGCTAACAAGGGAGAGGCTATAACGCACCGATCGCACATACATCATCATTCTCATGACCAGCAGCCGGATTCGT